TGGGGCCTGCGCCCAAGAGCTGAGTTCTGGAGAGACTCTGGCTTGGGTCTGAGTGCAGCGTGAGGACTGGAGAGGGGATTGCCAGCCCAGCGTGGAAGCCTCATCTGGCCACGGTGGCCAGGAAGGCAGGACAGGGATGAGCTCCCTGGGGCTGGGGCCTAGAGCAGTGAGGGGGAGTTACTGGGGGGAAGGGGTAAACACAGAGACCCCTCCCATGGGCTGGAGGGTCCCATGGGGAGGAAGCTGCAGGGTCTGCCCCAGTGGCTGGGCTTGGGTGGAGGAGGGGCACAGCCCAGGGACACCCCATTCTCAGAGCGACCTTCTCACTCCCCTCACTTCCACCCATGCAAGCCCAACCTTCAGGACACCACTGCTAAACCTGGGGCCCCGATCCCTCACTCCCACACTCGCCCTTCCCCCACCCTCCAATCTGCTCCTCAATGCCCCAACCCCACTGCCTTCACTGGGGCTGGGATGGGATCAGGAGTCGGGGGTTGAAGGGAAGCCCTGAAATGAGCCCCTCTCCGAGGACTGTTGGCTCAGGGGGTGACTGGCAGCTCAAAGAGGCCAAAGGGGCTCAGTGAAAGGGGGTCAATGAGGGACCAGGGACTGCGGCCTGGGCCTGAGGGCAGACTGAGGAGGGGGCCCTCGAGCGTGCTGGGGGAGCCAGGGCCCTGTGTGTCTTGGCTGAGCAGGACCCCTGGGCCGCCAGGTATGTAACAATTCCAGCCATTTCCTGCCCTATTAATGAGAAAGGGGCTGATATAAATACACGTTCGGCATAAATAAATACAGGACAGGCCCGGACTGCATAGCAGACAGATTGCGTGGAACTGCTGGCCAGCCCTTCAGCCAGCTCCCCCCACCCTGCCCGCAGCCCTCCCACTGCCCCCCACTTGTTTTCCTCTAGCAGGCCAGAGCCCCTGCACACTCACAGGCCTGAGACGGATGGACTGCCCACCCTCGCCCCAGGCCTCAGAACCAGGTCCCTGAAGCCTCTGAGAAGAGGCAGGCCTGGGAGAGGGAGCTGGGGTTTCCTGAGAGCCTCCATACTAGGCTTGGAGCAGGGACCTCACATGAATAATGGACAGCATCCCTGTGAGGGTCTGGGCTGCTGTGACTGTGCCCTGTCACAGTGGGGAAGCCAAGGCTCTTAGGTTTAGTAACTTGTCCAAAGTCACACAGCCAGGAGGCTGTGGTCCAGGATTCAAATCCAAAGCTTTCCCACCCCAAGGCCTCTATTCTGCCCCGCTGTCGGCGAGGGACAGCCAAGGGCAGCTTCTGGCCCACCCTCCTACCTCCCAGGACCCAGCCCCAGGATGCCGGCCCTTGCAAGGCCCAGAGGATTTATTTTCACAGCCTGGAAGAATAAGCGGCAACACCCTAGGTGCAGGGGATTTGGGGAGCGAAAGTTCAGCTTGTGTAACAGGCCCTGTCCCCTGGAAATGCACCCAACTCCCACCTGGGATGTCCAGGAGCAGGGTCGGGATACTGAGGTCCCTCAGATGCTGACCCTCTCATCAGGGTATTGCACAGACACAGAAACTGAGGCACAGAGGGGTGGTGCCTTCTCCAAAGCCACGCAGGGAGGCAGAGGCAGAGCCTGGAATCCAAGCATCTTCTTCCAGCCCAGGCCTCTCCTCCAGGCTTGGGTTCAGAACGAGAAGGGCCATCTCCTCACATAAGGCTCCCCTTGCCCAGTGCCCCCAGCCTGGGGTCTTTCTGAGGTGGACTTCTGCTCTGTTGGCCTGTGTACCAGAGCCTGTCCAGGGCAGAGACCAGCACAATGGCTAAGGTCCAGAGAGAGTAGAGACTTGACAATCCTCACACAGCAAGGGTTAGTTCTGGGCAGAACCCAGGTCTCCTCAGCAGCCCACCGCTCTCTTCAGGCGCAGTTCAAATGCCCCCCCGCCCCCCGCCCCAGGAGGACTTTCCAGCCCCCAGCCCTAAGGAAGCCCTAAGGAGCCCCCAGCTCTCAGGTAGGTACCCCAGCCCTGCATAACCATGAAAGCAACATGATACTGTCTTCAAGCCACTGAAGTCTTCTCCTGCCTTTGTGTCCTGGAAGTGTGCCCTTAGCCCAAAGACAGACACACTGCAGCGCCCCCTGCCAAGCCAAGTGCAAAAAGTGGGGCTAGGCCTTTATACAGCCAACTGTTCTAGGGGGCAAGGTATGCAGGTGGGCACTTTCAGGATAGCAGGGGTTAAGCCCCAGGACCCAGGCTGGTCTCCTGGATCTGCCTATCCCCCAGGACCAGGGCCCAGGCTAGCCCCTCCCTTTGGCTGACTGGGCCAGTGACCTCTTTGCCCCCAGCCCCTCATAGCCCTGGTCCCCTCTGCCCAGGCTCACTCCAGCAGTGTGAATCTCAGACCCGGGGCCCAAGGGTGTGGAGGGCAGGGGGAGACCACAGCATGTGGAGGGCCAGAGAGGAGCTCCCCAGGGCAGAGACCACCTCCCGACCTGCACCCTTAGCACCCATCTACCCAGGCACTTCCTCCAAAGCCCACCTAGTCCCATGTTTCAGAGCTGTTGTTAGCTGCCACTGAGTCAGCTCCAACTCATGGCGATCCCATGCATAACAGAACAAAATGTTTCCCAGTTCGGCATTATCTTCATGATCGTTGGTATGTTTGAGTCCACTGTTTCAGCTATTGTGTAGTGCCTTCCAACACAGGGGGTTCATCTTCCAGCACTATATTGGATAATATTCTGTTGTGATCCATAGGGTTTTCACTGGCTATTTTTGGAAGTAGATTGCCAAGCCTTTCTTCCTAGTCTTAGTCTGGAAGCTCCACTGAAGCCTGTCCACCATGGGTGACTGCTGGTATTTGAAATATTGGTGGCATAGCTTTTAGAATCATAGCAACACACAAGCCACCACTGGATGGTGGGCTTCAGAGCTACACTGGGTGAAACAGGGGGAAACGGAAGCTAACCTGAATGGTTGCACTGCAGCCATTAGAAAGAACGAGATGATCTATACATATTGACCTGGAAATGGATGACTGGTATATTGTTAAATGCAAAAAACCAGTTCACCTAACATGTACAGTATGATCAGATTTTCATCAGCACAATCTACATGTGTATTATATGAATTTACATGCAGGTTTGTATATATGCAAAGAATAATTTCTTGAAAGATCATAGCTCACAGTTGACACTGTTTCTCTCAAATTTTAGAACCAGAGAAGTGGAAGATTTTTTTACCTTAACATCTCTTATTTTTTATTTTTACAAAATTTAGTAGAAGGAAAAAAGATCAGCATCAATCCACAGTCTCACCTCTTGCCCACTGCCCAGCACTGGTGTGAGCATCTGCCAGTCCCTGCCCTCCAGTCCATCCCCTCACTCCACAGTGGCTCCATCCTTTCTCCCATCCCTCTGCTCAGGCACTTCCTACCACCCTTCCTCCTCCACTTGGCCTTTGCAGCCCCTCCCCATCTACTTCCTCCCTCCTTCCCCCTCCATCCCAGGAACCTAGGTCCCATCCCTGTCCAGCAAGCAGCCAAGCCCCCTGTTGTGGGGCCTCCTCCATTCCTCCAGGCCCTACCTTCAGTGGCAGGCTGCCTTCACACACTTCTGCTCTTGCAGAAGAACCTTGCAGGTTTCACTGCAAGTTGTATGCGTGTTCTGGAATCCCAGTTGTGTTTACCCCTTAGCAGGAGGTGATAGGTCCCTCCCCAGCATGTGCTCTGCCTCCTTGGTCGGATGTCTCCCCAAGGGCAGTCCGGGCCTGTCCCTCAGACTCAAGGTAAGGGCCTGGATGTTCGCCCCATGTCCACAATGGGCCATCTGCAGACCCATCTGAGAGGCAGACAGGAATCTAGCCCCAACTTCCCTGAGAACCAGATGGCAAAGAGGAAAGTGGGCAGAGCTTGCTGGAAACTCTCCCTACACTCACACCACCCCCTGGCTTGGAAAACGGTGAGGGGTGATGGCTAACTCCCAAGAAATCATCCCTTCCCCTCCTCTCAGCAGAAGCACTCCCCTAAGGGCTGTGTCAGGAGGACCTGACTCACTGAACCTGAGCTTGCAAAGCTACATCAATAGGGCTCTGGGGTTGGTTGGGGGGTGAGTGCTGAGATATTGGATATGTTTCTAATAGGACTCTGGGTAGGGGGGTGAGTGCTGAGATATTGGATATGTTTCCCCATCCCTGGAAGAGATGGATGGAAGGACAAATGATAGATGGATTGGTGGATGGGTAGACAGGTGGATGGATGGATAGATTGGTAGATGGATTGGTGGACAAGTTGGTGGATGGGTAGATGGATGGGTGGGTGGGTGAACAGGCTGAAGGGTGGATGGATTGATGGATGGATGGGTGGGTAGATGACTGGATGGATGGATGGGTAGATGGGTAGAGGATGAGTGGATGGGTGGATGGGTGGATGGACAGATGGACGGATGGATGGATGGATGGATTTGTGTGTGGGTGGGTGGATGGATGAGTGGGAAGGTGAGTGGCCAAGTGTGTGAAGGAATGGATGGACTAGTTGCAGACTGGCTCAAGAGTAACTACTTCTCAAAGGAATTTTTTAAGTCTCTAAAATGTGAGACGCTGGTGCCCCCCAGAGGCACTCCCAAAGCCCTGGGCGCAAAATTCCTGAGAACCATGGATGCAGAACTAGAGAAAGCTAGGGGTTCTGGGAAACAAAAACTTTAGGGTCTGCCCCTAAAGCTGGCTCTGCCCCTAACTTACGTTGTGACCTTGGGAATGTCACAGCCTTTTGAGACTCAATATTTTCATCTGGAAAATGGAGCTAATCAAACTTGATGCCTGGGTTGTTGCAGTATTTAAACAAAATACATGTGTAAATTGTCTGAGATGGTGTCTGGCACATAACAGGTGCTCATGGAATGTGGTTTCCTTCCCAGAGACAGGCAGCCCTAGGATGTACACACACACAAAACATGCCTCCAGCCTAGTACTGGAGGAGAGTAAGACCTGAGGCCAGGCCAGACCAGGAGAGCAGGAGAGGCAGACAGGGCACATTTATTCTCCAGGGGCTTCAGGCTCTGGCAAGGCTGGCCCAGCCTCGGGGGTCAGGGACTCAGGGAGTGGGGACTCAGGCAAGGTCCATGAGGCCTCCTGGGGTTCAGTCTCCTGGGCCAACTGGACTGTGTGCTCAAAGGCAGCCTGCAGTAAGTGGGAGGCAAGGCAGGTGGTCCAGGTGATGAGGTAGGCCAGGTGCCAGGAGGTGAGTGCTGCCATGTTCTCCACCCACCAATACAGACGCTTCAGCAATGCCAGGAGCTCTAGCAACATGTGGTTCTCCAGCAGGGCCTGAAGCAGGCAGGTGGATGGGCAGGTGGCCACCAGGAGCTCACCTGGTCTGTGCTGCCTGGCTGCTAGCTGCCCCGCCCAGCCCTGGCCATGCCCAGTGCCCCAGACATGCCCTCAGCAACCCCACTCCATTCCCCAGCCCACCCACCTTACTGGGCAGCTGGCCCAGGCTGAAGCGGTGAGCCATCCGGCACAGCCTCCAGACCAGCAGCAGCAGCAACAAGGCCACCAGCATCAGGCTGTGCAGACATGACACAAGCAGGTCCATCCAGGTGGCCAAAGATAGGTCCAGCTGCTGCCAGGCATCTAGACACCGCGGGGACAGGCCCAAGGCCCGGGCACAGCCCAGCACACTGCCCCACATCAGCCTGGGCACCCACAGCACCAGCCACACAGGGATCTCTATTAGTGCCAGCCCAGCATGTACAGCCCGGCCGATAGGGCAGACTGCACCACCTGGGGGTGGGCGGGCCTGCCTGCTGCAGGACCCTTCGGCCTCCTGAGCCAGCCCTGACACCCAGTGGTTGAAGAGGATGATCTTGAGGAGCAGGAAATTGTAGAGGTGGATCCGGTTCTGGATCAGCTGCAGGAGGAGGGACAATCACCACCCACTGTTAGCCACCTCAAGCTAGACTCTTGAGGCCTCAGTTTCCGCACCCCCCCACCACACACACACACACACAAGGATGATCTTTGTCTACTTCCAAGGATTCCATACTCAGAGGGAGCTTTAGAAGATGTTTTGTATTATATCTAGTTTTATTTCTGTTGGATTTAAATGATTATATATGTTCTCCAGACTGAAGGAGGTTGCTTTATTATTAGTATTGTTTAAGAGGTGACTATCTGCTCACTCCTCTAACCTTGCAGGGTTTGAACCCAGGTCTGTTGTGTTCTCCTAAGCACCTGGACTTGCCCTCACACCAGTTGCCTCTTGGTGTCACGAGGGTAGGTGGGGCAAAGGGCAGTGCCATTAGGGGTAGAGAGATGTGAAAGAAACTGGGAGGGCACAGAATTAATGATTGACCTGCTGAGAGGGGTGAAGAAGCGGGAGGTACCTGGAAGACTTGCAGATTTCTCACCTGGGTGACAAGTGCCTCTCATTCGTTGAGAGGAAGTACACAAGAGAGGGTTAGGTAGGGGGAAGGAGCTATAAGTAAGAAAGCTTGACTTGAGTCCTGGAGCTGAAACGCCCCTCATCAAAGCCCTAAAGCCTCCAGCCCTTGAGTGACACCAATCCACCTGCAGAGGTGTAGTGAGGGGAGACTCAGGGGGGCAATTGCCCCCAGGCATAAGTCCAAGGGGGCACCAGACAAGGCACAGAATGACATTCCAAGGTGCCACAAATATGAAAAGCGACAGACTGAAGCAGCTGGACAAGAGGAGGAAAGGCATTTCTCCTGACAATTTGCCACTGTCATCATCTATTCATCTTGAAATTGGGAGGGGGACAACTTAGAGATTGCCCCTGGGCGCTCGTTACCCATGCTGTGCCTCCACCCACCTGCCCCAGGCCCTCAGGTACAGCAACTCAGTTCCTGCAGTTTGGGTCTTGGAGCCTCTAGGGAAGGGTGTAGGGGTGCCATCTAAGGCTGGCTGTGCACTCCACCCATGGACTAGCAGAGGTCGAGGGGGTGGGACTCTGCTGGGAAAGGGAGGGGACCAAGGGGCCCAGTTTAAAGAGGAATTAGGATGGAAGCAGGAGGTAGAAGCCAATCTTGTATCTGTCTCTTGCTATTACACCATATTACCTCCCTTTTCTGTGACACAGTGGCAATTGAATCTGCTGAAGGTTGGGATTTAGTTGTGTGGCCCCAACCACAAGCATCTGCATATTTTAAAAAGACGGATGGGAAGGGCAATGATTACCCTGCTGGAGTGACCTTCAAATAGAGAAGCCAGGCACTCTGGTTTGGGGATGGGGCTTCTGGGAGCTGTCCGGTTCTCCAGAGAACAGGCAGTCACTTTCTCCCAGTGCTTGGGACAGGTCCTGCAGCTCTGGGCGGCAGTGAAGGACCAGGTGTGCAGCCCTTGCCACCCTCTCAGCCCCGCCCGCCAGCCCCACCCCTCGGCCTCCGCTCACCAGCACTGACAGCCTCAAAACCTGCAGCAGGATCCCGGAGAGACTGGGTCTGGCTGGAGGGACAGCCTCCATGTCTGGCCCTCCTTCCCTCCTCCCCGGGAGAGAGGCAGGGTGACCTCACAGGTAAAGCAGGGTGGGGGCCAAGTTACCGTGGGGACTCAGTTGCCACAGGAGACCCCTAACCTGCTTTCTGTTGCCTCAGTGCACCCCCCAAGACCTCAGTCCAAGCCCAGCCACATCATGGCCTGGGGTCTTCTGGCCTCTTTGGGCAAAGTTTCCTTCAGGTTAGATTCCCCAGAAGTAAATTCTGAGAAAAGGATTAAAGTGCAAGTAGTTGATTTGGGAGGGGATCCCTAGAAGCGTCAGTGAGGGCGGCAGTAAGAAGGAGAGATGGAGAGAAGAAAGCTTCTAGCCAGCGGGTGTGTTAATGAGCGGGTTATTACTTGGGCAGCCGGGGTGTCTCATTGGGGACCTCCAGGAGACAGTGAAGAGCCTGCCTCTGGGTCATCCCTCCTGAGGAGCACAAACACCAGGGCATTTGTCTTCCACTTCCTGTCCAGCACTGGTTGAAGGGTGGTCCTAGGGGGATTAAGCCCCCAAACCTCTGGCCTGCCCAGCACAAGCTTGACCTCAGAGGCTTTTGCCGGGGAAAGCCCTCAGGAGATAGTAATAGGCAGCTGAAGCAGTCAGTGTGTACAGAAACTGAGGCTGACAGCAGGTGGGTGCTACACATTCCCACATCCTTCCAAATCCTGAATTTTCAAAGGCCTAGGGAATAGAAACCTTGGTGCCCAGGGCTACAGGTGACAAAACATTTGGAGGCAGACAGAAGCCTCAGCTGCCCAAACAAGTCTTTCTCCCTCTGAAGGCCCCTAGCTAAGCATTCCTCATTAGTTCTTGCATTTTGCTAACAGCCTCTTCCCAGTTACAAAGCAGAGGGAAGAGATTGTGACATTTGTTCTCCAAGCTCCTAGCCAATGACATTTCAGTGGGCTCTAAGAATAAGTCAGGTGAGGAGAAAGAAGAGTGCTGAAGTAAGGGCCTCAGGGCGTCCAGGAAGGGGACAGGTACTGAGGGAAAGGGGGCAGTTTGTTGGGCTACCTCCCTCAGGGCCAAGAGAGGCAGCCAGGAGGCCACAGGCTGCCTTGGAGCAGCTCAGAGAAGTTAATGGCTGTGGATTAGGGTCAATGGCTTAGAATTCTGGGAGATTCCAGAGCCTGGATCACAATGCACGTCTTAGTTATCTAGTGCTGCTATAACAGAAATACCACAAGTTGGGTAGCTTTAATGAACAGAAATTTATTTTCTCACAGTTTAGGAGGCAAGAAGTCCGAATTCAGGGCACCAGCTCTAGCGGAAGTTTCTCTCTGTCCACGCTGAGGGAAATCCTTGTCTCGGCTTCTGCAGCGTTCTTCTTGTGTTCCTTGGGGCTCTCCATGTGGCGTCTATCTTCCCCTGTTCATGCTTTCTTGCTTCTGTGTCTAATCTGCAACTTTTATGTCTCAAAAGTTATTAGGTTTGGGACATACCCTACATTGATATGGGCTCATTAACATAATAAAGAGAATGGGATTACATCCACAGGTATAGGGGTTAAGATATACAACACATATTTTGTGGGGCCGGGGAAGGGGGAACACAATTCAGTCCATAACAATGAGTTTCTTACACTGCTGTCTTGTCTGGGTCCCACAGGGAGACCCTTAAAGAGAAAGCGTCTGTGGACTTGTTCCAGGGGTAGTGAGGAATGGGGAGGGACCTCAAAAAGAAGAGTGAAGAGAAGAGGGAGAAGTCTGGGCAAGGCGACGGGACACTGGCCGGGCCGGTAGTTGGCCCCAGGAGGCTGCAGGCCTGGGCGCCAGTTGGTGGAGTGCCTTTTAGAAATGCAGAAGGACGTGTGTCCTCCGACTGACAGGGCACTGTGGGTGCAGAGCTCTGTGAGGACAGGACCCCTCTGTGCAGACTGCAAGAGAGTGCCACAGCACGATTTCAGCCCCTACACACCCCTTCAGCCAGGTACCCTTGTGCCGGACACAACGTGCCCAACTGCACAAGGCAGCCTGCCCTGAGGAGTTCCTGGAAATGTCAGCCGTGTCCTTTGCCCAGGCCAGTCCTGTTCACCCACTCATTTCCTCCCTGGAAAAACGGCTGGGGTCTGGAGGGTGAAGGGTGGCAAAGCCCCTCCATTTTGTCCTCTGCCCCTGCCCCTCCCCTACTCACCCTCTATGTCTCCAACACTATGGCAGTGAAGGGTCACTGGGGCTTCAGAAAGGCCCCCTTGAGCTGAGTTTTGAAGGATGAGTAGGAGCTGGGTAGAGAAGGAAGTGGGAAGGGTGGTCCAGGCAGGAAGAACAGCATGATTCAAAAAATTCAGAATCACTAGAGCATAAAGGGAAGTCCCAAGGGTACAAACGGTTAATGCACTTGGCTGCTGTAATGTTCTACTAGTAGTAGCATCAGAACTTGTCTAGATTCCTTAGGGATAAGAACCAGGATCAGCCCAAAGTTGATTCCTATGAGGTGGAATTCAAACATACCTTCACCCTCCAACCTTTTTACCAATTCTGACACCAGCTGTCCCTCCCCCGGCACTCTCTACTTCTCTGCTGGGTTCAATAATCCATTGCAGTGGCCACGGAGAACTCACAGACCATACTTACAGTTAGGTGGTTTATTAAGGGACTAAGAGGGCACAACTGGGATCAGGAAGCATGTAGGCAAAGTCCGGAAGGCTCCCCCGAAGTGGAGAGCACATCCCTCCCTTCTTCAGTGCAGGACAGCTCTCTCAGCCACACAAGCCTCCTCTTGGCTGGGCATGCCCCATCGCAGTTGCGCAAGCCTCTCTGCCTTCAGCCTCCCTGCCATCTGCCTCTCCACTGCCAACACAGCCAGCGTAGCAGCTTTGTTCAGCTCTCTTAGCCACACTCCTAGCAGCAGGTTTCTGCCATCACCACCAGCTCTGCCTCAGGACCCTTTCCAGGCCTGTGGCTGCCAGCTCTGCTACAGGGCCCCTTCCAGGCTCCTCACCATCTTCAATGTTCTAGCCCTTGAGCCGTGTTACAGCTCTTTTAGGAGATTCCGTACCTCCTCTCTGCTTCTTCTCTCTTCTTGCTGCTCTTGTTTTTTCCCCTTCCATCCTTCTTTCTGAAACTTCTGTGGGGCTGGCTGCATATATAAGAAAACTCCTTGTCAATTTCAAAGTATGGTCCTCCCAGCAGGGCCATGAATTGACCAATCCCCTTGGTGGACCATAGTCACTTCATTTGCATATTCGGTAGTCATTTCATTTGCATGTTGTTGTTGGTCAGTGCTGTCGAGTCAGTTCCAACTCATAACGACCCTGTGCACAACAAAACGAAACACTGCCAGGTCCTGCTCCACCCTCACAGCGTTGCTATGCTTAAGCCCATTGTCCATTTGCATAGCATATAGCATACTGGGAAACCCTGGTGGCATAGTGGTTAAAAACTACGGCTGCTAACCAAAAGGTCAGCAGTTCATATCCACCAGGTGCTCCTTGGAAACCCTATGGGGCAGTTCTACTCTGTCCTATAGGGTCACTATGAGTTGGAATCGACTCAACAGCAGTGGGTTTTTTGGTTTTATAGTATATTGCCCAATCCCTTGAAGGTGCATAAAATAGACCAATCACAGAGCAGGCTGCAGCCCAGGGCCACACAAAAAGTATCAACTTGTTTACAGCTTACCCAGAAAATGTTAATCAACCTGGACAAAGCAATAAACCCTCTGAGGTAGAAAACTAGGGCAAAGGTAACTTCTCAGGGTGTAAGGGGAAAATCTCTCAAGCTGTTTTTCCAAAGAACCAAGGCAAAAGGCCACATAAAGGGACTCATTTCACCACAGCTGCTAACCAAAAGGTTGGAGGTTTCAGGCCACCCAGAGGTACCTCAGAAGAAAGGCCTGGCAATCTATGAAGCACAAAACTCTATGAAGCACAGTTCTACATGGAGTCACCATAAGCTGGAATCAACTCAATGGCAACTGGTTTTTAGAGCATCAGGTGAGATGTGGGAACAACAGCAAGAGAGTGGCAAAGTCAGCAAGGGCCACATGGGCCATGGAATATCCTATTAAACAATAGGAGACATCAAAGAGCCTAAGCAGCAAGGCAGTTGGGAACAACTGTGGGCTGCAGAATGGTCCCTCCAGCTGGCATGAGGAGGCTAGACTAAGGTAGAGAAGTGGTCTAGGGAAGGGAGACCAGAAAGGAACCAACAGCAAGAAATCCTCCAGGCACGAGCTGGTGGGAGGCTGGACCAGGGTTGTGGCACTTGGAGTGGAGAGAAGTGGACAGATGCTAGAAATACGGAGAAGGTAGCACTGACAGGATTTGAGGATATCAAGAACTGTGAAAGGTCTGAGACTGTAGCCTACTTCCAAGCTAACAAGTTAGTCTACCATAGTTTCACGGATGCTGATAGAAGACACAAGGACTCCCAGGTCAGAGTCTAAGGACAATTTATTACCCACAGCAATAGCAGTCAACTACAGTATGAGCATTTTGCATTGGGTTCTTGAGTCCCAAATCCCTCAGGTGACATGAAGAAGGGCAGATGACACCTGCACGTGTAGTGGGCTGTTACAAGAGAAGAACCCTGAGCTTAGGGAACTCACATCTTTTATAATGAGCAGTGAGCATGTCTGCCCTTTGCTCCTGGGAGAGACACTACCTTTATTACACTGGAGTATGCCTGCCCTTTGCTCCATAAGGAGACACTATCTCTGTCTTTCAAGGTTGTTTGATATACCAACATCCTCGAAAAGATGGTCCAGAACAAAGGTCAATCATCAAGGCTTCTCATTCACAAGACATGCAGAAACCTGAGGCCCATGTACAATTGTCTCCCAACAGAGGACTAATTAGGAAAAAAGGTAAAGCAAGGCAGGGGTTAGAAGTCTTGGTGAAGGATGGATAATGGTGTTGCCTACTGACATGGGGGCCAGGGAGGAGGAGCAGGTTTAGGGGAAGGAAGTGAAAAGCTCAGGTCAGGCTTATTGAGTCAAGCCTGGGGCTCAGGGGAGAGGGACTGAGAAGCTGCTGGGAGTCAGGT